ATCTTGCTGCCAAAAGAAGGAATTGCTTCACCATCACTGCAAGTTGTTGTGACTGCAAGCGAAAGAAGAGAAAGAGGGTGAATATGAGAATCACTTAAATTATAGCAACTAAATACAAAATAGAGAAACATAAAAGAAACACTTACACGAGTGGCAGACTAAGTTAACAGGGAGACGATAGAGAAGACGAGACTCATGCGAGTGGGTTCATCACTCACGTGAGTGATAGTCGGACTGACAAAGCATCAGACTGGAGAATGTACAACAAAGCAGACTAGCAAATAGGGAAGGAAAGGCAGCAGCTTAGCAAACAAGATTACACTACGATTAGTGAAAAGAGCGGGGGATCCTCCTCCATTCCTATGTTACTTCGATAGTGATTATGCATCCATATGGTAAAAAGTGACTTTGATTAGACACTTATTTATCCCTAAGTCTCTGTCGATGTTCTTAAAGAAGTCCATCCGGTAATTAAAAAGCTCTCTTCCAAGTAAAATGTTTAGATCCCTTCAGGCCATTAAAAGCTTAAGTCTTAGGGATCGCCCATACCAACAGGATATCTTTCGATCCTACCTATAACCTTAGGCTATTATCTCTAAGTCATCAGCCAGTTTTACTGATTCTAAATCATGGTTAACCTTGTCGGAATTCACACAATATGTAAGCACAAATGTCTAGAGGATCAGGCTATACACAAAGTTAATTTAATCATTAAAACAAGGCACACTTACATTACCCCGAATGCAAATCTACAGTATTTTCACATAGAAAGGGTGATTCAACCCCAATTCTATTGTAGGAAAGTATAACATAACTTAGAAATACACAATTCTATTTTAATTTCTTCTATATTACAATGGAAAAAAGACTAAAAGCAATGCTCATAATCATGTAAATTTGACCCTCATCAACTCACACAAACTTTAAGAGTTGCTTGTCCCCAAGCAAAGACTAATAATCCACCTCCAAACTGACTCAAAACACATAAACTAAGAAAGATGAGTGAGTGTCCAATTTCTGCCTCAGATTCATCTATCAAATTATGCATTAGAGCCAGTCATGACTCAGGCAAGTGAGAAGTTTGCTCCCGTGAGTGTGTGAATTCTACCATAGAATTAGAGTTCCCCCAGCCTAACAATCTATTCTAAAGATTTAGTTTAATTCAAGATCAAATGGACATTTTGTGTAATGTGATTGTTCCCTTCTCACCTTCAACTAGGGCATTCCAACTAGGAAGCAAATCTAAGGACTTTCTTGCAAAACAGCGGGCATTGCAGCATCAATTATCCGATATTTACCATTCTGCAGTGGTTCATATGGCTTTTTTCTTTTTAGGACTTTTTCCCACTCAAACCTTTATCAAAAGCATTTGCCAGCAACTTATGTTAAATTAAGTAATTTCTTTTATCCTCACCTATGAGCCTGAGGACTCTCCACTGTTTAGTCCCAAACCTCACCTCTCATGGGTTTCATTGCCACATTAATCATGCTACCTTTCTCCCTCAACAGATATAGCATCCTAACCTCAGTTTCAACCGTCAATCCCCTTATTTTTTTCCATGGTTTTTCAGGCTATTACAGACTACTATGGGCTCGAATCGAGTTTGTCATAATGCGAATGGTTGCTCTAGACTATTTTCTGAACTACATGCTCCCAAGTCTCAAGTAACTAGGATCAATCACTTAGAAAACAGTAATGAGTTAATCATGTAAGAATTTAAGTTACAGTCTATACAATCTTTCAAATGAGTGGTATCAGTGTTTGCATGAGGTCATTAACTACTGGCTATGCTCTAAATCAGACTAACTAATGCAGAAGTAAAGCTCCCAATCGACCACCAATGTTGCACCATGTGCCAAGGGGTTGCATTTGGAGGCAAAACAACATCAGAAATCTGCGAAAAATAAAGCCAAATTAGTTGAGAAAGTGAGAAATCTATAAAACATGTTGCAAAGTTTCCCAATTTTTTTGCATAAAGGACAAATTGAAGGGTTAGTCAAAATTCCAAACTTAGAGATTATCTCAGACACTGAAAGCAATTTATTAAAAAATTTCCAAGTGATAGGGAAATTCGAAGAGGAATAAAGCAATGCTAAAAATTTCGTAAAACTCCCTGTTTCGGTTGCCGATTACAAATGACTTCATAAGCCGACTTTGTTTTGAAAGATCCATTAGAACTTGGCTGCCAAATGATGCAATCCTCTCCATTTTCAAATTGCTGGTCGAAGTTAGAAAGGGTTTGAAGGACAGGTGGAGAGAGAACTAATTGGAATTCATTGAGGAGTTCCGTCTTGCGAGCAAAAAATTGTTTAATGGTGAGCGAAGGCTGAGGAGGTTTCTAAGATGGAATGTCCCATATGACTTCAAGATTAGACCAATTATCATGTCAGAAGCATTAAGACCTATAGATATATACGAGATTTTCTGAAACATTATTATCTTATCATTTTATCGATTTTCTTCACTTTTTGTACTGGTCCTAAGTTGGGACAGAAGAAAATTATTAATTATTAAAAATTATTAATTTATCTATTATTAATTTACCGACGTTTTACTGTATATAGATTTGATCTTGTCAAGGTGACAACAATTTTCTGTCCAAATTCCAAAACCAATTGGGCAGCTTTATTTTAATTCCCTAACGAGGCCCACTTGTGAGTTCAATAAGGCGGGTGAATAAGTGGATACATTCCGTTTACACCAGTGTGCTAATTCATCCCAACGTTTTAAAATTGATCAATTATGTCTCAAGGTTATCAAAATTGAGCAGATACATCCCATGACCTGCAAAACATAAAAAATGACCTGATATAACAGATAAAAATCTATTGGATCTCATATTTATTCTTTTTTTTTTCTTATTTTTTCATTTTTTGGTCATTTTTTAGTTCATTAAAAAACAAACAAAATTTCTATATTAAAAAAACTCGAAAAACTTACTTAATTAATCAAAAAAATTTATGCATCACAAATAAAATAATTTATAATTTTGGATTAACTCAAAATTAATTAATTTTTTAATACACAATATATATGTGTGTGTGTGTGTGAAAACATAATCATTCTTTTTTCACTCAAAATAAAGAATTTTTTTGGAAAGTTTCTTCAAGTTTTATTGAAAAATTAAGATGAGTCTGATTATAAAATACATTAGATTCATTAAAAATAAATTAAAGTTTTTAGTTTCTCCATTTATAAATGTTGTTTCTGTTTCAATAAACTAAAATAATTTTAAAAAATTCAAAAAAACAGAAGTAAAAATGTGAAATATGTGATCCAAATGATTTTACCTGTTATACCAGGTCAGTTTTGTTGGTTTGCAGGTCATGGGATGGATCTGTTCAATTTTGATAACCTTAGGACGCAATTAATCAAATCTAAAATTTTGGGATGAATTCGCTAGTAGGGTATAAACGTTGGGATGTAATATAGACTAATATTCCCTAGATTTGATCTTGTTAAGGTGACAACAGTTTTCTGTCCAAATTTCAAAACCCATTGTGCAGTTTTATTTTAATTCCCCAACGAGGCCCACTTGTGAGTTCAATAAGGCGGCCCATTAGTGTTTTCTTTGCTTCCATTTTTCTTTGGACCCTTGACTTTTCTTTACCAGACAGACAGCTTTGTCCTTTGATATATTTCCTTCACAGAATTTTTTTATCCAACATAATTTTAAATTTAAAATCAAGTCTTAATTAGTGCAGCAATCAATAATATCTTGAAAATTATGAATAGAAGTAAATCTTCAGTAGAACGATTTGCACTGTGAGGGTTGTTAATTTTATGGGAGAGAGAAACATACGTTGGGCCCAAAAAAATCTTAAGTTTACTCTTATTGGTTGACTGTACTAAAAAGATGCATATATTCACTGTATAATAGATCCAACTTCAAAAAAACTTGTATAATAGATTTTTCACTACCAGGTGATGTTATATGTTCAGGAAATAAAGTAAAACATCAATTGCCATGAAAATGTGCGAGTAGTAACAAATAAAAATGTAGAACCTTGTTTAGAAATTATAGCTTCACCTTTTTCTAAAAAACAAAAACACTAAAAATCCACCCAAAGAATGACTTGTAAATTTGGAAAAGTTACCTTACATCCCACAGATGGGATTTGACCACGGGGGGATATAGATTCACCAACAATTAAATAGAAGAAAAAGATATGATCCATTTGAATTTGCACAACAGGTGGTGTAAGAAAAAATACGACCAAAATATATATAGGGTGATGCATGCTACGATAAAAATAAAATTGTGTTTTTGTGATTGTACTTTAGTGTAAACCACAATCAACCGATTTCCACCATCTAAACTAACAAATCTGACAAAATAACTGAATCTCAGTATTGTCTGCTACATAGAAAAACGACATTAGGCGAATCACCATATATCATACAACATCTTCAATCTGCAACATAAACCCAAATGTAAAGCTTCCCATCTCGATCTCAAAATATGGTGAAAGGAGGTTACATGAGTGAGTTACCACGTTAAACATGAATCAGGTGTCACATGATACATATGGACATGGTTTTGATTACCCCGGAAATTAAGTAAGCTTATGGCTAATTAATTATTCCTCCTCTTCTGTACCCCAAAAAAAATAAAATAAAATAAAATAGTCGTTAGCGCATGGTTGGGGATTTAGGTGAAAATATCACCATCTTTTACCATGTTGAGAGTTTAATTATAGTTGCGCAATTCAAGTTTATGAACTTTTTGAGTTTTTTTTTTCCTGGAAAAATGTAACACGCCAAACACTACACGATTCACATGATTACCAACAAGCAAAATGAAATTAATTAGAAAAACTTCATGAATGATACTCCCTCCGTCCAATTATTGTCCAGTTTGGATTTTCATTCCTAGTTCAAATTGTACTAAAAGTAAAATCTCAATCTGAATAATAATTTTGGGACAAAGGGAGTATTTGTGTTTATATAAGCCGGGCTTCATCTTCCCCATTTTTCTTCAAGTCATTAACATTAGTGTTAACAATGGAAATTCTCACCTTTGTGGCAATATTCTCCCTATTTATCCTTGTCATTCGCCTTCATCACAAAAGCAACACAAAACCCTCAAAAACTCATAACAACAGTCCACCAGGCCCTCCTGGTCTTCCATTCATTGGAAACTTACACCAATTAGACATGTCCTGCCTTTACAAATACTTATGGCAACTCTCAAAGCAATACGGCCCTTTAATGTTCATAAATCTGGGTTCAATTCCAACACTTGTAGTTTCTTCAGCCAGAATGGCTGAAGAAGTGATGAAGAACCAAGATTTGGTATTTTGTAGTCGGCCTAAAATGGTAGGACATCGAAGGATGAGCTATAACCGCTTGGACGTCGCGTTCGCGCCCTACAGTCAAGAATGGAGAGAAATGAGGAAGATCTGTGTTCTTCATCTCCTGAGCACGAAAAGGGTTCAACAGTTTCGTCCCATTCGCGAAGATGAAGCGATTCGAATGATCAAAAGCATATCGCGAAAAGCTGAATTATCCGAAGCTGTGGATTTGAGTGACACACTTGTGTCGATTACTAGTACAATCATATGTAGGGTTGCTTTTGGGAAAAGATGGGATGAGGGAGGCAAAGAAAGAAGAAGGTTTCATGAACTTTTGGATGAAGTTCAAGCAATGTTTATGGGATTCTTTTTCGCGGATTATTTTGCTTCTATTGGTTGGGTTGATAGATTAACAGGAATGCATTCTCGACTTGAGGCTATCTTTAAGAAGTTTGATGCATTTTATGAAGAACTAATCGATGAGCACCTTGATCCAAATAGACCAAAATCCATGGATGATGACATTATTGATCTCATGCTTCAAATACGACAGGACGGATCAACTTCATTCGATTTGACCATAGATCATATCAAAGCTCTTCTCATGGTAATCCTTTAAAATTTTGATACGTTCTGACTTTCATTTCATTTAATATGTTTTTACAATTAAAAATAAAACCTTAAAATTATTTTATAATAATTGAAAAACTACAATAAATGTGAAATACAATTTTAAGGTTTTATTTTCAATTAAGATAACATACTAAATAAAATTTATGAAAAATCAAAATATCGTATAATAAAGACGGGAGGGAATATTACTCTTTATTTTCCATAGTCCTATTTAACATTTTTTTGGTCTATAAAACGTGTTCCCATTGTCTTAAAATATTTACCATGTTTTTTGTATTAAAATTGTACAAGAATTGGCAATAATTTTGAGGGAAGAGACTAATACCCTTTCGAATTCGATCTTGGCATAGTCTTACGAGCTAATTAGTAGTTGGATGTCTGGTTCACTAACATAAAAGATTAAATAGGAAAAGGGTAACAAATATATCATTAATCATCACTTGTCTTGTAGTCGAAAACTAATAAAGAAATGTACTGGCAAGAAGGAACAATTTTTATTGGTTATTAGATAAAGAGAGGTAGATAAAAATTGCAAGTTAATGTAAAACATAATCACTTTTCTAATAAAAAATAGAACAGAAAATCCACTCAGAAACAACGTGAAAAATGTGAAAAACTTAGGGGCATGTACCAGCAAGTTGGATAAATTTTTAATACGAGTACTCTATGTCTGAAATAATTGTCATGTACCTTGTATTAAAATAGTATTACAACATGAAACAGATGATCATATTTTTTGGTACGATGAAGTAAAAATTTTTGCTAAATGTAATGCCCGTTGTTTGTTTCATAATACTAGCGCACTAATTTGATTACACATTACAGAATGTATTCCTTGCTGGGACGGACACAACTGCAGTAACAGTGACTTGGGCAATGGCAGCTCTAATACAAAACCCTAACATCATGAAAAAGTTGCAGACAGAGATCAGAGAAACAATCGGAACAAAGAAAGAACTGATAGATGAAGACGACATCGAAAAGCTTCCTTATCTTAATGCAACCGTTAAGGAGACCATGAGATTGTACCCGGCAGTACCACTTCTTGTTCCAAGGGAAACAATGGAAAAATGCCACATTGATGGATACGAAATCCAACCTAAGACTTTGGTGTATGTCAACGCGTTTGCTGTCGGAAGAGATCCGGAGATGTGGGAAAATGCAAATGAGTTTTGCCCAGATAGGTTTTTGAACACCACTATTGATCTTAAAGGGTTGGATTTTCAGTTGATCCCATTCGGATCGGGTCGAAGAGGCTGCCCCGGGTACCTCATGGGTTTATCCACCGTTCATCTCTTGCTCGCGAATCTTGTCTACTCTTTTGATTGGGAACTGCCTTTTGGTGTGAAGAAAGAAGACTTTGATGATGAAGCTTTGCCTGGTCTTACAATGAAGAAGAAAAATGCACTGAAACTTGTGCCAAAGATCCCTACTACTGCTGCCAAAACTCTTTAGTGTGTGATTGTTTGTTTCTTTTTCTTTTGTCTTGATATTTTATAGTTTCAAGCGGTGTTGTCTTTAAATTTATTTCTGTATAATGGAAAAGGATATAAAAAATTTGTGCCCGTGATTTCGAATGAATTATTCGGATGTTTTTTCTTGAATGTGATTGAAATAAAATAGTTTAACTCTCACATTGTTGTCAATCTCATAGCTTTGGGGTACCGATGACCGACTGTATAAGAAAGTTGTTACTAGTTAGAGACTGTAGAGAAGAGTTCAATAAGTTTGCTTTCGAGTTTCGACCTTTTAGTAATAATTATTTCTTATCATAAATACAATTTTAAAAGATCTTACGAAATAAACACAGTTAATTTTTATTGTTCAGTTTGAACATTATTTTCAATGTACTGAAAAATATAACCATCAAATACATCAAACTACGTTGCTTGCTCCTAGTGTGGTTGCCCCCCGGGGGTTATAAATTTTGGAAAATGCCAATTGTAAAATAATGGCTAGCTAACACATATTGTAACAATGGCATAAAACTAACAACTCAAAGCGAATGGATCATTCTCTTCAAAATCATAAATACCTCATGTTTCACACCGATGAGCACTCCCAACTTGGCCAACATTGTCACCTTTTCTTTTTCTTTTTCTTTTTTTTTCCAGAAATAAGAAATATCTATATTAAAGACACAAATACGAAATTTACCATGGCATTGTTTTGGTCGTACCACCCCAGCAGTATAAGGAAAATTAAATTTCCAGCTTGTTGGTGGTCCGGGATTTTGTTCGCCTGACCTGGCGGCCAAAACTTATTCAGTGATAGGCACCCGTGTGCTGACGGGAGTGGTGGTCCGATATATAGTGTCCTGAAAAATAATTTTTTGTTGAAACAAAATTTAGAAAATGAATTTTTCTTTCTTGAAAATATGCATCTTAGAAGCATAAAGGCCAATCAATTAAAGAAAAAAGGCGTAAAGGCACAAAAGTACTAGTAATCATAATATGTACATGTAATTTTAAAGGAAAAATCGAGTTAAAAGCGTTGAGTATAACTAGAAATTAAAAAACCAAACTTGACAATAATTATAAGACGGAGGGAGTACTTCAATTATAATACGAAATCAGATTTTTTCTTTCTCCCCAAATAAGATAAATAGTACACTCATTACTGTAAATCTGATGGTCCATAAATATATCAATGTCTTACTTGTCCCACTTGGAACTTATAAATGGGACGAGACTTTAAGGACTTACTCCTCCTGTCCCAAAATTATGTTTAATTTGAGATTTTATTTTTAGTATAATTTAAACTAAAAAATGAAAACTTAAATTGAACAATAATTATAGGACCGAGAGAGTACAAATTTCTCTTATTCAGATTTCTTGTGCTCCATAAATTTACCACTTAGAATTTGGTAATCAGCCTGTTCCGCCTAATTATTTGCTTAACAAAATCATTCATCAAATCATTTTCTAATTTTGGGACCCAAGAAAAAAAAAAATTGCAAACATTGTTTAGGTGGAACGTGAAATTGAGAATAAAAGATATACTTATGTCGTATACATATTGTCAATGTATTGGGTTGATTAAGAAAGAATTTGAGATGTCTAATGAATTTGTTATCAGAAATATTTCTTGAAGAATTCAGGTGTAATATAGATTTTGATCAAATAGAGTAATTTTTTTTATTCTTTCTTCTCCTTTAAGTTAGCTCTACAGTATGTAATGTTTATCATGCACTCGGTGCTGCCTCGGAATGCTACTTAATTATATGGGCCTACATATGTAAAGCACCTACCTTTTCTTAATCAGGCCAGGAGAATGGTTTGCTGTATGCCTCATTTGTCAATGTGCTTTGTTACTCCATAGTCCATATTTCATTTTATTTTTTTTTATATATAAATATATTTTTTTGGTTCCAAAATAATTATGTAATTTAAATATTCATTTTGAATACAAATTGTACTAAAATTTAACTGGACAAAGATAAAAATTCAAAATTAAATAATTGTTTTGAGAAATGATAACACAGAGAGTAGTAGACAGGTTATAGTACAAAGTAGGCCACGATAGTGCATGCATTCAGGTCTGCAAAGAAATAAAAGGTTTAGTCCATTTTTTTTTTCTCAATTACGGACACAATATCTATAGTATACATGTGTAGTTAAAACTATTAAAGACAAAAAAAAAAAAGTACGAGAGTAAATAATTGCCATTAATATAATAAATTTTTAAAAGCTGAGAAATAAAGATAAAATTAGAGATAATTCTAACTGAAAATGAAAAGTCACAGATCTTTTTTTTTTTTACAAAAAAATTAAATATGCTCTAATGCGATATATTGAAAAAAAAAAAAGTGATATACTTCTCTATCCCAAAATGAGAAGCACACAATCGAGACTGGGAAAATTGTACAAGGGAATTTATTGGAGCAAAAAAACAATTATGCAACAAAAGGAAAGTAGGAAGCAAACAAAAAGCAAAGCCTTTCAATCTTGCACCTCTAGTAACAATCATACAAGAAAGTTAGTTGAAAATTACGATACTTTCATCACTGCTTGATAGGTACAAAATCACACAAACGAGAATAATGATACTCATGTTTAAATTAATTATCTCTGTTTATTTTTATTAATAATGGGTAAATAAGCGCATGCTCATTGTAATAATCAGCAAATCACTTATAAAATGACCATTTAAAAAGGTCTCTAGTATCAAATCCGAACACAGAATACAAGTTTGCCTCAGTAATGTCTTTCAAAGCGATCCAACCCTCATTCCACTTCCTTCCTGGCGGAAGCAATGACTTTGTCTTCTGGTTCTCAAAGAAGTAATATAATTAGAGATTAACTGTCTCAAGGTTTATATGGATTGTGAAACTCTAACTAGATAAGAAATTACAATCGTGCTTAATATTCTCTGAGTCACAGGGGGTTGTGTTTTTACTAAATTCTATTAATTTTTCCTTTCAATCGTGTGTACCGATTAAAGTTTATAGAAATGATATGTTAGAAATGCATAACATCGGAGGTGGGAGTAATTATCTCTACTTTTCAGATGACATGCACTTTTTATATCTCTAAAAAACAAAAAACCCAAAGCAAGATTTTAGTATTAATCCCAAGAGAAAATTATAATTAAAAGAATTAACTGGGAAAAAAACTAAAAAGAAGAAACCACCAATTGGCAGAGGCCATTTTCGAAAATCCGATGAACTCTTATTAGTCTCTATAAGAAATCATGAAGGTGTCATGTGAGTCATAAAGTAAATTGATTCTCTCTGTCTGTCTTCCATATCCAAAAAAAAAAAAAAAAACACACCTTATTCTTTCCTTTAAGACTTTAATTTCATTGCCTCCTTCCTTGCTCCCTTTAATTTCCAACTTTTTCCCATATTTCACCTTATTTCTTTTTTTTTTAAGCCTAACTTTAAAATCCCCCTCCACCCCAAAAGTGTGTTTTGACCGTTGCTTTTATGATTTATCTCCACATTAACGTGTCCCTCTCTTTCTCTCTCACACAGTCACACAGTGACACCCACTGAATACAACATTACAATCTGCTCTGCTCCTCCTCCTCACTTCATCTCTTTCACATTAATTCTAGTCTTCTTCATTCACTTTCTCCCGGTGTTTTTTTTTTTTTTTTAATAAAAAAATTTCTTGTTAAAGTTAAAACTCCTGTCTGAAAAGAATACATTTGACGGGAATAAGTTATTTTCGCATTGCACTTTTTGGATGCAATTGTAGATTTGCAAGCATCAAAGAAGCTTCCGCTGAGGTTAACCTTCGAGTGGTTTGGGCGAATTTCGAGTGGTTTCAGGCAGAATTGAAACGAAATTCTGTACACCGGAGAGCTTCACTGACTGGGTAAGTCTCGAATTTCCTCTGTAATTCTCTTCTTTTCCTCTGTTTCTTCAGCAAAAAACTTTGTGCTGTTTATCGAGAACCTTTATTTATTTATTTTGATTTGGGATTTTTTTATTTTGTGCTGTGTATTTTGTTTCGTTTTGCTAAATGGGATCAATTCTGTGGCATTTTCAGTCTTCTAACTGTTTTTTTCTGGAATTGACTTGGTACTGTGGTGTCTGTATTCGGAGATATTATCTGTCAATAGTTGGCTTTTTTTGGGGCTTTGATTAGACTCAGCTCCTTGTCTACATGTTGGATTCCTTCTAATTATGGAGTTTCATGTTTCCTAATTATTGTGGTAGGTTTATCTGGGAGGATATTTTTCTCCTGGCCAACCTCTTTTGGCCCCAGTTCTATCTACTTTTCTGATTCTCATTATTTACTTATGTGGGTTTGTTGCCACACAAAATTGGGTTTGGTTTTTCTGAAGATTTTGCAATTGTTAATTTGCAATGTAGTTTCCATTAATATTTTACCAATTTCCTAGTTTAATAATTGGAGGCAGGAGGAGAAGGTGGATGAGGTTGGCGGGAAAGATGGGTTGAGTGTTTCTCGATGGCTGATCAGCTGAAACATTTTCGAGATCCTGCCATTAATACAATTTTTAAATGGTGGGTTTTATTTGGTTCAGAGTTTTTTGATGTCTCTTTTTTGTCTTTGCAGTTAAACTTATCAAGTCCATTCTTGTATTGAGGAATTAAAGCTCTGAAATCCGACCGGGAAAGGGAATACTTAATGAATTTGGGAAGAAAAAGAAGAAAACTCCTTGACTTGGAATTTGATACCAGCTTGAAAACTGCATAGAGGTCTAGTGTATTAGGAAAAAAAGGTGTAAGGAGACAGATGGGATGTTCTTCATCGAAATTAGATGATGAGGAAGCTGTCCAGCTCTGTAAAGATAGAAAGAAATTCATCAAACAAGCAGTTGAACAGAGTTTGAGGTTTGCAGCAGGACATAATGCTTATATTGAGTCCATGCGGAGAGTTTCAGCCGCTCTTCGAGATTACATTGAGGTCGATGAACCGCGTGAATTCTTGATGGACTCATTCACCACTCCACCACCTGTTGCATCAATTAAGAGACCGGCCTCAGGGTTTATAACCATTTCCCCAAAATCATTCTCAGTTTCTCCATTGCAGTCTGGGCAAAAATCCACACTTAGAGTAAATTATCTTAGGTCAGGTGGTAATCCTTCTGTTTCTGTTGAGCAGAGACCACCTCAGTCTCCAGAAGCAGTTCGAATGGAAACATATTCTCCTATGTATCAGCATTATGGAATGGATGGTTTCTTCTCAATGCAGTCACCACCTGTGACTTCTTCAATTTTCCATTACTCCCCTGATAATAGACCATCTTATCCTCCTCCATCCCCTCAAGTTTCTCAATGGGATTCTTTCTGGAACCCGTTCTCTTCATTGGACTATTATGGCTATCCAACAAGAACCAGTATCGGCCATTCAAGTCTGGATGATGATATTGCTGGGCTGAGACAAGTACGAGAAGAAGAAGGGATCCCAGAACTAGAGGAGGAATCTGAATATGAGGAAGTCGATCATATGGTAGATGTGGAAAGAGAGAGGCCTAAGGTTGAAAGGAACTTTGACAAAGACAAAGTTATTGTTGAAGATGTTGATGATGATGATGATGATGATGATGATGACGACGAGGACGACGATGATGACAATGACGATGATGAAACGGAGAATGGAACAGACACTGACCATGAACTTCATGGAACAAATTCCAATTCTACTCAGAAAATAAAAATATCAAAACTACAAAATCCAGGTCGAGTCATTCCCAAAGAAACTTCTGTTACTAATGGTCAACCAAATGATGAGACACCTGGATTCACTGTTTATGTTAATCGAAGGCCAACAAGCATGGCTGAAGTTATAAGAGATCTTGAAGCTCAGTTCACGGCTGCTTGTGACTCCGCTGATGAGGTTTCGAGCATCCTTGAAGCCAGAAGAGCTCAATATGCATCAGCATCAAATGATCTAGCTGGTAAGAGGGTGCTATCTTATCCTTTTCTTTCTTTCCAATTCCCTTAACATCATATTTTTCTCTGTGCATCTATAAGTGAACCATTTTGCTCTTTCATAGTTAACAGTCTTCTATTGCCAAATAGTTATCAAGTTTGGCAGGAGCATGGGTACCACAATCTTTTTCTATTCTGTGAAACTTAATTTGATGAATTGGATAGCATAAAGTGACCAAGTTTTCTGCCTTAAAAGGCCTCTGAGAATTCAATCCTATTATAATGGTCTCCAATGGAGAAGATGGATTTTGTTTAACTGAACCTGCACACGATTGTATTTGTGTCCTTACATGCAACAGCAGAAGAAATCATTGCTATCTCTTAAGGATGACATCAGTTTTTAACTCTCAGAGTAAATTGTTTGCTGGGCGCATACTTGAGGTCACAGCATGAACATTGTATGCCTGCTTAGTTTACTGACCTCTCAGTATCTAGGTTCCCTTGCATTGAATTAATGAGCTGTTCCTTAGTTTGGTAGAAGTTCTCGAGTAGTGATAATCTTTAACCACAAATGCGTGTGGAAACTTTCTTAACAGTAGTTGTCCGAAAGATTGGATATAAAGAATTATATGAATAATTGTGTAGGTACAAGAAAATTGTGACGTCAATGTTGTACTGAAGTTAGCTAGTTTATGTGTATCTTTGTTAAATGAAGATGGAGCGAGATGCATGATACTTTGATTTTCTCTTGAATAAAGCTCTGTTCAAGTTATATGGAAAGTAACTGGTAAGTTTTGATGCTGTAGCACTGAAGATGTTGAATCCAGTAGCATTGATTCGATCAGCTTCATCGAGATCATCCTCAGCAAGATTCTTAACAAATTCGTCCACTTCTAAAGCTGCAAATCATGACAGCAGCAGTGACATGTCTGAAGAATCTAGCACATTCTTACACGGTCACCAATCAACTCTGGATAGACTCTATGCGTGGGAGAAAAAGCTCTACCAAGAAGTCAGGGTATGATTCTGGCAGTGACCATTTTACTTTTGCGCATACACGTTAAAGCTCTACAACCATTAATGCAACTTGGCCATTAATTTTATGGAGGCCTTACCTTAGGTATATGGCCTTGGAATTCATTGAACTACTCAAATTAGACCAAGGTGAAATATGCTAGGTAACTGACACATTTTTCAGGAAAAGATTCTGCATTTTGATTACGGACTGTGATAGCTTTAAAATCATTGTTTTGGAACTCAAGTCTGGTTATTAATCTTAATCCGGAAATCTTTTAAGCAATAGCAAATGCTCAAAAATGAATGCTGCCGAAATGATGTAGTTGTATTTAAGTACTAGACATTAACCTAAACAGTATAAATCCAAATGATAGTTACGCAATAAATCTGGCTAAGGTTAATTTATTGTTCGTTCTATAGTAGAAGTTCAGTGCAGACATTCTTACAACTGCTATATACTGTGTGATGTTTTCCCTTGAAAAGCTTGTCACCATTCGCAGCTTTTTACTTTCTTGCAGGAAGGGGAACGTACTCGTAGGGCATATGAAAAGAAGTGTTCACAGTTAAAGAGCCAGGATGTTAAAGGAGTAGACCCTTCAACCGTTGGTAAAACAAGAGCAGCCATAAGGGATCTGCATACTCAAATAAAGGTTTCGATACATTCAGTTGAAGCAATCTCAAAGCGAATCGAGACATTAAGGGATGAAGAGCTGCAGCCTCAACTCATAGACTTGGTACAAGGGTAAGTCTATATAACCATAAACTTCTACTATGTTTGCCATATCCTTTTTTACTTTTCAAATGTGCTTCTGGTTGGAGTACATGCATTGAGTTTAATGTCAATCACAGCTTCCCTTGGACTGCTGATTAGTGTGAGATTTTGAGTGAAATGTGGTTGACATTTTTAGTGATGAATGAAATCAAATTTAGCACTCTCACTGAGCACTCTATATATAGTAAGCACCAAGAAAACGATTTGTTAGCTCATCATCAACTTTTCAGTAAAAAAAAAATCTTGATTGATTGACTAGCTAGAGCTATAGTCTACATGTTATACCTCTCTTTATTGGTGATGGAAACAGGTTGGCAAAAATGTGGAAGGTGATGGCCGAGTGCCACCAGAAACAGAAGCGCACGCTTGATGAAGCCAAGATTTTACTCGCTAATATGCCGTCAAGAAACTCGGGTATGAAGAAATACACTATAATGTCGCCATCTGAACCGCACCATCTAGCCCGTTCAGCAGCAAACCTTGAAATGGAGCTCAGGAACTGGCGTGCCTGCTTTGAATCGTGGGTCAAATCACAGAGATCCTACATCCATGCTCTTAGGGGATGGCTCCTAAGGTGCGTCCGCATGGAACCGGAGTTATCAAGATTACCATTCTCCCCTCGACGGTCCTTAGGCGCACCTCCAATTTTTGCTATTTGCATTCATTGGTCCAGATTCCTTGATTCTGTCAGAGAGGCCCCTGTACTCGAGGGGCTAGAATTTTTCTCTGCAGGCGTTGGTTCCTTATATGCACAACAACTGCGAGAAGATAGTCGCCGGACATCAGGCGGGTCGAGAAGGTTTAGAGGGGAATCCATTGGGAATATGGAGATGGTGGAGGTTGGGCAGCTGGAGGAGGAATTCATGTCTGCTGAAAAAATGGCTGAGGTTGCTATAAGAGTTTTATGTGCCGGCATGTCTGTTGCTGTGAGCTCACTAACTGAATTCGCTCTTAGCTCCGCAGAAGGATATGCAGATTTGTTGAAGCAACCAGAGGGGAGAGGGCATTAAGTTGCCTAAAAATTCATAAAATGGTCTTCTAACATAGTAAATTTATTCTGCTACACGTCTAGTAACTTTAGACTAGTGAGGAATTTAATGTAAATTATTAGTGCAACTTCTGTCCTAAGGAGAAGTGGCTAACATCATTTTGTCTACTCATTGTAACCATCATTTGGTAGTTGCGATTTTGGAAACTGTACCAGAATGATCTTAGGCAGCTAAAACAGTCTTTCTTGTGATGCTCAAATCACCAAAATCTCAATTGTCATATCTTAGAAGCTCTGAAAATGGGTCCAACCTTTTCATTCCTTTGCATCACATCGTGTTTGGATATGAGGAAACGAATTTATTTATATATCAGAAAATTTTACTTTTCTTACCCTACAAATAGGGGTCGTCACATTTACAACCCAAAAAATCTTGTTGTCCAAACCATGTCATCTATCCTTAAATTTATGAGTAAACTGCTCATCTTTAAATTTGCCAAAAAACTTAATTTGGTCATTTACATTAAAATCTACTATTATCTTAAAATTTACTAATATAATTTGTCCAATTCGACTGCAACTTTTTTTGTACCTATTTCATTAAGCATATTCTTTTTTGGCATATTTTAAAATGTATATCATCAATAGTAGTGGATAATCTCATGATTGAGTTAGGTGCATGTAAGTGACAATGATTAATTTTCTCGCTAAGTTATAATTCCCTTGAAAAACGAAAACACTAACCAAAGAATTTAAACTCATTTGTCCATAACAAGTTTTATATCTTCGATCTTTGGTTAAAGATTGATGGATTTTACCTCAAATCAACAACTCTAAATCGTTTACTTGACATCCCATGTAACTTTCCGCTATTATGCAAAATCCTTTAATTTTCACCCTTTCCATTTTGTAAATGATCATCATCTTAAGCCTATTAGTAGTCTCGCTTTGATATGTCCACCAAGGCATAAATTGCGACGTGATCTAGAGCATTTAAAAGAATAATGTCCATTCTACGATTTTCAAATCCCACGGAAACTGTTTAGAATACAAGGAGACTGCAGTCACAATTCACAAAACAAGGAAACTTTGTGCCAAGACTAGATATTTTTGTCTTAAACCTGCACGAGACCACAAATAAAGCAGAAGAGAAAAAAGAAAAGAAAGGAACTGCAAAAGAAGTCCTTAAATTATGGTAACATTTCGCTATTAGCTAGGAAAATTTAATTTTTTAAAAAAGTCACTACATTAATGAACAGTGATCAGACAAGATTATTCGGTTATAACATTCCTTTAGAGCTAAAAGATTTCATTAAAGCCATGCGTATAAACAGTCCAAAACTAAAAGATCACTGTTCATCTTCATCCACAATGATTCATGATTCATCATCTTCCTATCATAGAGTCCTTTGCTCTAGAAAATAGGGTACGCGATTAAAGGCTTAATTTATCTTTTTATCAAATAAAGAAATAAATAAATAGAAGATAGTTCCCGCTTGCATACGCTTTGATTCATAAACAACATACTTCGCCTATCTAAAAAAATAGTCTATATTGAATTTTAAAATTTATATTATAAATAATATAAGTCTTTAAATTGCAACGTGAAATATTTATTTTGGGATGGAGGAAGTATTTCACTATGTTAATTGTTCAATTTTCAATGAGATCAGGGAGTACGTACCAGCGGTAGTTTTCGTTTCTTTGCATTTTGATTTATTTATTTGCATTTTCCAGCTTTTGTTTCCATAAACTTTACTTGTCGTTGGTTTCAATAACAATCAAAGACCCAACAAGGCGCCCATTTAACATGTTATGTTTAGAAATTTTGAGGTCATTCGACTAACCTCGAATTCCTACATGAGATTAACACAAAAAGATTCCCTAATCAAACAAAATTCTTATTTCTTCGGTTGTAATGACAGTGAGTCGTTAAGAACAATGAAATGCATGCAGCAAGCTTCATTGCGATAACTAATCAATTCATCTTAAATGAAGAAAATAATTGAACCATGCATTAGGATTCAATATCGAAGATAAATGAGAAAGTTAATTAATTCATTTTAATACATTATGATCAAATATAATTTTTCTGTTTGGAAGAAAAATGTTTTATTAGATTTGTTGGGAATCAGCTAGCTGTGATTGATACAAGAAATTTGGGAGTGACAATCAAATATAAAATATTTGAACATTATGATTATAATGAATCATTGAGATCCAATATCGAAGACAAATGGGATGATTAATCAATTAATTCTAAATAAACATGGAGGACAAACCTAGTGATTGTGATTGATTAACCCAAAAAAATTAAAACAACTACCAAGAAAGGTAATCCATTTCCTATAAATAGATGTGAATATGTACAATATCTGAAAGTATGAAAATGGAAAAGCACAGAGTGAACCGCATCACCTTCGTTGCCTTCCTTCTCTGTTTTATTCTCATCGCTTCCAATGGTTAGTACTCTAAAAGGTTTCCAATTTTTTTTTTCTTTTTTTTGGTCATTCCACTTTAGAAACCAATATTTGTGCTCTTATATTTTTTTTATATTACTAGCCTAGCGTTACTTTTATCGGTATTTACATTACAACAAAATTCTCCCTCGTAGGACCATTAATTTGGGACATTTTCAATCAAATCTCCATATGAATGTATACCGAGACACTGGTATGAAAGTCTCCCTTTATAATCAGCTAAGGGGATGTATTAGTGTGTCCCTATTAAGAATTTGTCCCAATAGAGGACGTTTAAAAAACATCTCGTTATCTATAATCTTGAGAGACTTAAATACTTCCCCTTCGCAAGGAAAATTTTATTGATTCAATTTTCACTTTTAGTTTCTATTACTTTTAATACGATGACACCCTAAAATTTATAAATATACTATGGGACGTGTGAGTTAAATAATTATCTTTTTTTTTTAATTTGTTTTTATAATACTAGTATTGCACATTAATATTTAAATTTATATCTTTTTACATTTCAAGCAATCGATCTACTTTTATACTTCTAAAGTATGCCTTTGATTGAAAACATTAAAATTAACACACCTAAGAAGCAAATCAAGAATATTATTCAAAATTCTGAAAACTACAAAGTAAATGAAACCAGCCAGTGACAAGAGTAAGGGACAAAGGGTCTCTTTAAGTTGACAATTGCTAATAGTACGATTTGGTTATTTGATGATTTATCCTTACGCATGAATTATCTCATATCACTATAAATTATCATTAGGTTCGTACTATTTTCAAACTTTGCCATACTATTGTCTTACCTGAAATAGGAAATATGGTGGAGGTGGTAACTTTCGTACAAGTAGTTACAACATATTAATGGTTCCTTGCCGTGTTTTTGTTTATGTTATTCCTTCATATGAACCTCTTATTTTTAGTAACTAATTATATTATATAATTATAGGATCATTGTATTGGTACATATTTTGTTTATTCATCCATCAAATTTTAATAATATAACATGGTCCTAGCGAAGTTCTATGCTTAACGATGTTTGACCAATCAAAGGGACTATACATATGAAGAGATCGCTATATACGTGATTGGATATGTGGATCTTATCAAAATAAAATCGATCTGATTCTAAGAACATTTAGCAATTTGATTTGACTGTCATTAGTTTATGTAATATTTAAGAAAATCATATTGAGCTCTTTTAAGAGTTGCAATATGTATTTGCTCACGGGACAATCTTACTTAGAGTTCGTCATATTCATCAAGAAGAAAATGTTGCGACTTGCGACCCCTAAAAACATCCATAAATTATTGACTAGTCAACTTGAGCAAAATTTATTGGGGTGTCCTGAAATGCTGTCTAATGGGACGCTTCGGAAAATCCCATATAAGTTTTTACTTTTGTTGTAGTATCATCATAACTGAGTTACGACTTGTATATACTCGCTTAAGAGATTAAAACTTTTTCGTCTATTTTTAAAAGTTTTTTGTAGTAACATTTATTGTGTATTCCTTCCGTCCCAAAATTATTTTCTAATTTGGATTTTCATTTTTAGTTCAAATTATACTAAAAGTAAAATTTCAAAGTGGACAATAATTTTAGGAGAGAGAGAATATAATACAATAGGCACACTACAAATAGCTTTATCACAAACTTAATAGTTAAGAGTCTTAGAGATTAAAATTACATGCAGAGTGGCATATGGCGGAGAGTTGTGAAAAATGGCGGAGCAGATTGTGGACTGGGCCATGCATAATAGATGGGAGTTGTAACGATCTATGCAGCTCGCAGGAAGGGGCTGACCATGGAGCCTGTCACTTTGATTTCCCTGGATCGGCCTGCTTTTGTTATCGTGGTTGCAATTAGTATTATTTCCTGATCATCAAGAAATGGCCTTTTATTTGGTGGAATTTGTTCTTTCCCTTGTGTGTTTGTCAGATAAATAATTGCTAGTTGATACAAATTGGAAATAAAACTATTTTGTTTTCCAACCGCTAGCTAGCTAATACAGTGAAAGTCCTAAGTTTGAATCTTGATTTGATTCAACAGTCCAAGAAATGTACTGAGAATAAACATATAAACACATTAGGTTCCCTGATGTTTCTCACATAATTGTAATCGCCCAGTCCTTTTATTGCTTGATGAAATGATCCAGAATTTCACATAAAAATTGGTCCTAGGGCTAATCCTCTTAAAAGATAAGAAAATATTTGATCGGAAGGATATATGTTGAACAGAATTAATCTAAATTATGTTTGACTAATACCCTCCCCTGCCGTTAGATAAGTTTTAATTAACGGAAAACCTAATTCTTAAACTTTACAATAGACCAAATTACTCCATATGCTGAGACAAGATATAAACAAACAAAGAAAAACGAAGCACTAAATGGAAAAAGGAAATGGAAGTGAAAAACAGAAGAAAAAAGAAACAGAGAGAAAAGATCACAATTATAACCTTTATTAATAAGCGTACTACTCTATCTGTCTCGCAATATTATTTGTTCAATCTTCATGAAGACGGAGGGAGCAACACCTTTCGTCTTTTTGTCGTCAATCTGGGATCGATCGATTCACAAAACAATAATAAAATAAAAAGAATAACATATTGATGTAGTAATCGGTTACACAAGAGATTTAATCTCTCAAAGTTCTTTTTCTGAAAATGCAAGGGAAACGAGACATGATCATATGAGACTTCCGCCACCAAACTGACGGAATTCAAGAGGCATTGGAGGAATTAGAACCCTAAAATCCAAAATGAGGGACAAAATTGAGCAATTTGAAACAAGATGGACATCATCAAATGGGGGCATTAAAGTTAAAAGAACAAGACAATGGATTCATCCCAAAATTAAAGTAATACCACAAACTAATTTCCATCTATAAATAGTTTATCTCTCTCACAATATCAGAGAATATACACACGGAAATGGAAAAGCATAA